TACGCGAGCCTTCTTCTACACTCGTCGGAACATCCGTCGACTCTCCTTCCCCCTCTCGGCTTTCGTTGTCTTCGACCGTCCGCCGACCCCGTGAGACAGCACCTGATGATAAAAATTCTTTCATTGCTGCCCACCAAGTGCTGACTGCACCACTGCCATCAAGATCAGGTGGTAGTGCCCACCATCCTGTGGAAGGTTCGGCTCCCTTGTCAAGGGGGAGTAGTCAAGAGCGCCCTGCCCCAATTAAATCAAATCCGTTTGTTGCAGGTACGACTTCTCCTAACGAACAGGTCTCTAATAGCCGAATGGCCTCTGCTAACATTGACCCAGACGGAGCTGCCGCCCCTAGGCCGCCCTCCGGAACACCGAGCGGTGCGACTTCGCCCGCTCCTGCCTCGCTTTCTGGATCTTCATTGTCGGAGATGAAGACTCGTCCGCCTGGCCCAACCCCCCCGCCCGTGCCTGGTGCTCGCTGTTTGCCCTTGCGCCCTCCACCGGCCCCTCCGTTTGACGACAAGTGCGAGTATGCTTCGAACGACGTTCTCCTTTTCTGGAAACCTCCATCCGTTTTCTCGCAATGGACTCCCTCGGCTTTTGACGTACTGGGGGTACGTTATTCATGTGGTGAGCGATTTATGATGTCTGAAAAAGCGAAGCTGTTTGGAGATATGGCATCGTATGACAAAATTATGACGGCAACTGATCCTAAGACATACAAGTACTTGGGTCGTAAAGTGCCTCCTTTCGACTATGCTGAATGGAAGCGTCGTCGTGAAGAAATCGTGCTTACAGGGTCATATGCTAAATTTGCTCAAAACCCAGCCATGAAACAACCTTTGATGGCGACGAGTATCCGTTTCCTTGCAGAAGCTAGCCCCTTCGATCCTGTTTGGGGTATCGGCATGGCTGCAACATCTCCAGAGGCTAGTGATTCTTCTAATTGGCCGAATAGTGGTCGCAACTTGTTGGGAAAAGTGTTGATGGAAGTTCGACGCTTGTTGCGTGATCGGCCATTGTCTGGCGAAGATTTCCCTGCCTCTCCTTTCCCCGAGCCCTCCTTTTCGCAGCCGTTGTCCCCTGGTCAACAACGCATCCACGAGGTGGGTTCTCCTGGTGCGGCACCACCTTCAGAGGGCCGGGGTGAAGATCCTGCTGGCCTTCGTTTGGACGCTCCGGGGGACCATGCTCCTGGCGTTCACTTGGTGGCCGCTACCTCTGTTTGCCAAGACCACCCTCTTCCTCTGGAACACGGACCGGCACGCTTCTGCTGGATTCGGATTCGTACACCACCCGGGTCCTGTTGCATGGAGG